ACAGAATTCAGATGGTGTTGATTTGCTATCAATAGATGTTCTTCGCACCGAAACCATAACAACTTTTGATGATTTCTTCCTGTGATCTTGATGATCTTCACAAGTAGTAGTCTTGAAAGTTTCATGATGAGATTCATCAGCCACTTGATTCCTCTTTATGCTAACTTCGTTCTTGCTCGAGTATGTCTCAGCTTTGTTTCCATCTATTTTCAGGTAACTTTCGTAGAATTCTTCGTACTGAATCACCTGTCCCATTCCAGAAGGATTTGCATCTACAAAAACAGATCATGTTTTCTCAGACACAACAATCACAAACCAATGTTTTCGGGTTTTATCGAGTGAAATTTTTTTGTACCTTCGAAGACACTACTATTTGATCCATCATCAGAATCAGAATCAATGTAACTAAATGAATCATACCAAGCTTCCTCATGTGATATTCCTTAAAATAAGAAAAACAAAAACTAATCAGTTTCAATTCTTGAAATAAAAAAACAGAATCAAGAACTTGAGAATGTTTTCATACGGTTTCCATCGATTTGGCTGCAGTTCCATTGAAGCTGAGTTAAATGGAAGTTAGCATTAGACATTTCAGCTCTCTTGCACATCATCTTGGCTCCACCTTTCTCGAAATCAAGATGAACATATTCGCTAACCGCGAAATCCCTAACACTCGCATTACTCATGCGTTTCATAGGAACATCAGGCATCGAAGCCGAGATCTTGGACCGACCTTTGCCGGATCTTCCACGTTTTTGCTTCTTCTGCTGAAACTTGTCGCTGAGTTTTCTCTGAGAAGAAACGCAGCCACCCATTTTTTTTCCTTTTGGAGGAATTTTTCCACTACATTCACCAGCTAATGAACCTGTTTTTGGAGAAACAATCAAAGACATATAAGAGAGATCAAGAGACCACACACCAAAATACATGATCTTGTCTGAAATCAAAGTTTTTTGTTTACCTTTTTATATCTTTTGAGAGAAGTCACTTGTAAGAAGTTATCTTTACATGAAAGAATGCATCAACATTCATAACAATGAGATGTTGATTCATGTATCTTCAAGACCTTCAT